TCTTTTTTTTTTTTTTTTTTTTTTTTTTTTTTTTCTGTTAGGGGTAGTACATCATCAGGCAAAACGGGGCGTTGACCTTCAGACAGGCAGAAGTTTGAAAACAGTCTTGTAAAAATAAGAAAGAACAACTCATGGAGGAAACAGTTGATGCATCTATATTTGGTACCATAACAAAACTTGTGAAGCACTGCTAAGCACTGGTAAAATGAAAAGCTCTGGAAGTTGGTGTTTTCCGCTTGTAGTTCCCTCTCCGTGTGCACACACGCAAGTTAGTGAGGAAATTCATTCTCACACTTACGGTGTGAATGACGCATTTACAAATATTTCACTAACTAGTGCTATTCTTCTTTACCCTTCTGCTTTACAGAAGTGTCTGTGTAATACTTGATATATAAATTCTACTTTTTTATAAGAAGTTACACTATAGCTTTTAAATTTTTTAAAGGGAAAATAATTAATTGGCCAAGGATGGAAAGCTATGTAAAATAGAAATGAAAGAAGAAATATTTTAATGCCTGAAAAGAGAAAGGTCACAGATCACAGAAACCAGGTATTAGACTGTTACAAGATTTCTAAACTTATACAATTAGTTTTATAAAATAAGGCACAGCTTGCACTAGAGTATAGTATCAAATAGCAGAATATATCTGTTTTATACCATCACTTCTCTTAGGGGAAAAAAAAACCATAGCCTGAGGAAAAAACACATGCTTCAGATACTTTATATCATAGGTCAATAGTCCTGGTTAAATGTATTTCTGGTCAAACGTTCTTGAAATTCGTTGTCATATTTGATGTTTTATACTCAAAAAACTGGACGAACTAGCTGTTGATTTTGTACCCATCCAGGAACACGAAGCCAAATCGCATTCTCATTGGAAATTAGTTCCACTTGAGGAACCAGATGTCTCAAGGATATTGAAGGTAGCAGGAGCAAATCAGCTTGAGGAGCTTGATGATTCATTTGGTTAGTATTACCCTGAATGTCATTTAATGTATGCTTTTCATGAACAAACCATATGGGCAAAATACTGCAATGCTTACCTAGGAAAAGGTATTGTTTCTTTGCCAGAGAAAGTTATGGGCAGGAGAGACACAGGGTTTTTTGAGAGTGGTGTTATTTTCTGTCCTTTTAAGAAGTAACGAAAATAATGCTATAATGTGTGCAAGTAAAAATCAGTGGAAAAATACTGGCCTTTCAAGTTTCGTGGTCTGAACGGTAGAATTTTGTACAATGTAACATTGCAATTGCATAAGACTTTACGTTTGAAAATGAAAGTTCAATATCTTAAGTTGTTCTCAGATGACACAAATTATGAAGTGAAATTTTTGCTATTGTAAGAGTGTTCATGGCAGCCAATTTAGACATTCACAGGGATGTTGTTCTGCCACTTTCAAGTGTTACTTTAAAAAGTAATGTCAGAAAAACATACTATTTTTGGTGAAGCATTAAACCCACTTTCATGCTTCATATGGGACTTGTGCAATGAGGCCTCAGTATTCTGAAAGAGAATCAATTTAGATGGAATAGGTGCCCCTGTGTGAGGTCCTCCCTTACTAAGTGTATATACTTCTTATATGTCAATAACCATAAGCAAAATAATTTGTAATTAGAAGTTGTAGAGAAAATGCTAAGAGCTGTTTCTCAGCTGTAATAGTTGTTACTCTAAGAAAATTATGGGAATGTACATGTAACTACTATAAACAGCATTGAAAATGAGCTTTAAAGAGCAGTATAGCAAAAGGGTTGTCATGAGTGAAAGGCTGGAAAATGAAAAACTCTTATTTTCCTCACTTCTGCAGATGTATTAAAACTGTAAAAAGGATGCCCACTAACACTAATGTAAGCTGACACTAAATTTTTGTGGCAATGTGCTTGAAAAAAAGAAATCTATGCTGTGGAAGGCATACTAAAACCTTAAAGTTCTGAGAGTTCTAATCTATTTTGGTAGCTACCTTCAAGAATTCTACATTTACGAACATTCTGTAGCAGCTGTAACTGCCTTATTATAGCACCCAATAAAGCAGCTAAAAATCCATATTAAAAAAAGGTAAAATTTAGAAAGTAGTTGTTTAAGTGTATAGAAGACTTATGTATGCCATAGCAAAGAGAGACTTCAAATAAACTGTACAAAATGTTTTGCTTGCTGTATGCCATATGTGCTTGCTGAGCTTTGCTACACCTTTGGTTTCAGTTGGTAAGTAAATACCTGGTGGGTGAGTATAGAAACAATGAAGCTTTTCACTATATATATTTTTTGTAATCCTCAAATAATACTTTTAACAAGATTTCCTTTGTATTGGTCAGCAAACTACAAATATTCTGACTAGATGCTTAATGGGAGGCAGTTCCAGTGCATCCATGCTCTTTGCCTGAACAGATGGGAACAGTTTTCATCCAGTTTATTTTCTGTTCTCTGTAGATCACCCTTTGCACAGTACTGCTGTGGACGCTTGTGGAGAGGAGCATTCACAGAACAAGTCACTTAGTCATGTTTCAGCACGGCAAAGGAAAAACACAGAAAGGAGGTGTGGTGGAAAAAAAAAAATTGACAGCGTTTAATTTAATCTTTAGATTATTTAGAAAAATGTTCAGTTTGTCAGGTTTCCCTAGTTGCTTATTAAACAGATGCTTTAACTTAAAATTTCTCGGATCAGAAACCAAAAGAGTGAGTAGGGTTGAGGGATGTAGAAGACAAGTGGGGTAATAAATAAGACTCTGCCTTCTGTAAGCAGCACATTGATTTAAGTACTTACTCTGGTTTTTTTATATGAAAGGATTTAAAAATACCTCTGTGAGGTGTTAATTAGTTCTCTAAGTGCTGGTGCCTAACGTTAAAAGGTGGAAAAACTGAAAAATAGGTAGAAGCCAGTGAAATTATATATAACAAAGAAAATTACTTTAAAAAAATCTTTTAATGCAAATTTTAGTATATTTCTCATTTGTTAAATCAAATTTGGTTTAAATCTGACAGTTCTATTTGAGTGAAATAGCAAGACCATAATAGTGCTTGTATGAGAGTATGTGGGGGTTTTTTGTTTTGGTTTGGTTTTGGTTTTCTTTATTTCTGACCCTGTCCCCCACCAAGAAAGCCTTCTCCA